TAATATTAAAATTTTTACATATAACTTTTAAAAATATATATATATATATATATATTACAAATTTTAGTTTGTAGTAAAGAGTATATCCATTAAATAGTCGATAACGGATTCTTTTTGAAACGTTGATATTATTGAAATGAGTTTTTGTCTTTCCCAACAATTTTTTTTCTTCTATATATATGGTTAAAAAATTAAACATCCCAAGAACATGCTTAAAAAATCTAATAATTTACCAACAATGTTACACTTGAACCTTATTAATATTTTTTTTTGTACAGATAGTAAAGTAAGTTGAGTTTAATTGTAGAATAAAATAAAATAAAGAACATGTACTATTAATTTTTAAAATAGTAAAAAAAATATACTAGTAGTGTAGAAAGTTACTATTGAATATTAACCAAATAGTAGGCACAGTGTACTACTGTAGAGTTTAACAGTAGGCATAATTTTAATGTAGAAATTTCTTCTAAAAAAATGTAGAAATTTATTATTAACCAATTAAATAACATCTTAAGATATAACTTTTAAAATACCTATAAAGAAATCTAGCCCAATTTGTTGAGCACAGAAAGCGAGTGTTGGTTGCACATCTCATTGTTACCGAGTTCGATTCTTATAGATAATTTTTTTAAAAAAAAAATATGTATCATAAAAATAAATAATTTTTAAGTGAGATAACATTATAACAATCTATAGGTACAACATTTTTTTTTGGCAACCTACAAAGACTTAACGGGCTTAGCGCGTAGCACCAAGAGATGGGAGGCCCAAATGATCTTCTTAAAGGCCCATACTTACAAGAATGGATTGCGAGTCACTGTTTCGAACACAAACCCTAACCCTAATTAAACGACTCCTCCTATTTATACTCAACATCCACATTTCTCCTTCAGCTTCTTCGCCTCGTCTTTCTCTGCGGTTAGACTCATGGCGCTGGTGTGTGTGTGTGTTCGGCGTCGGTAACTAATTCTCTTCTTCATTTTTGTTTTTTCCTATTGCGTTACGTTTTTAAAGGCTATGATGTTGAAAACTACCTATTTTATGAGGGAGCGGAAAATTGTTCCTTCGTGATTACAAAACTACCAATGGATCCTACTGAGCCTTTAACTCTTTTTTCAATTATTTATTCGTTTGATTCTCTGTTGTTGCTGTACGCATAATATAATTGCATCATTCTTTTCAATTTTTCAATTCTACAGAAAAGTTTAACAAAGAGCCATTGAAGTGATGATATTACTTTCCGAACTCATCAATGTCGACTCTAAATTATCAGACTACAATTATCTGATCCATGGCTCTGCTATTCCATTTGCAAGAAAAGTTTAACAATGGTTTTTCTTTTTATCATTGTTTCCTAATCATATGAATTCACCCAAAAATATGAATAATTTAAAATTTATTTTTGTAATCACATTTTTATGTTTTTCTTCATAATTTCGCATTGCATTATTTTTTTTTTCAAACTAAATAGAACGTAACACGAAGTGTTTTTTTTTTGTTTTTAAATTTATATTTATTTGCCAACGTCCAATTTATAATTGTACACTTTAAATGAAATAAAGGATAGATAGATGCAATGCAATTAAAAAATAATAATAATAATAAAATAAAGTTTTCTTGGTACACTATCGTAAACAAGAGTAAGGGCATTCGTCGCAGAGGTCTGTTTAGAATATACGACCTAATACACCATTTAATGTTCTTAAATGGACTTCATAGTTTTTTTTTTTTTTTAGGGGAGGACTTCATAGTTGATATGTATACATTACTCATTTCATTATTATTTAATTAAGAATTCATACACTATTTAATTCTTCAACTCCATTTGTTGATTATCAGGCAATTTTTTTTCCTCTTAAATATGCTCTATAAGATTTTCTTGAAATTGAGGATGATATATCGTTATGTTTTTAAATAAATGTTTTTAAAGTTTCACTTACTTTTTAACGATATACATTGTAATGTTTTCCATTGTATGTCTGACTTATTCTCATATTTACTATTAATAATTTCATTTGTATTAATTATAATATTTTATAATATATTGGGGCACTCACTGGCGCCTAGCTGCAAAATGTGAGGTCATGTATATCATAATTAAAATAAATGAAATTATGTGAGAAAAATGAAAAAAGACAAAATATAAAACATTAAAACGTTTTATCAGTTCTTTTTTAGACTTTTATGCATCAAGGACTAATTATGCTTATTGAAATGTATGATAGTCAACAAAATTAATATTATTTTCGTTATGGAGTAGTTTTATTAATTAGGTAATTTTTATTATATAAATGATTAATGATAGCTTTTAGTTTACATGCGTGAAGTTAATTTTTATTTAATTTTTTCAATTTTAGTTATTTTTCATCATTTTAAATAGTTTGTAATTTAATAAAATTAATTCTGTTTTTATTTTTTTATATTTCAGATTAGTAAATAAAATTTAAAAATTGTAAAAATATTAATAATTTAATTGTTTATAAATAAGTTAGTTATAAATTAATAAATAATTATTGATGAAATGTAAGGATGTAGAATTATTAGTGAAATCCGTTTAGTAACTTATTTTTTTAGATATTGGATATGTGGGATTGAATATTTTATAAAATTGTTAAATACAAAAGAAAAATAATAACAATGAGAGATGTGTATATGTAAAATTTATTTAAAAACCTCAAGATACTAGACCGTAAATACTCCAAGAGAAGTGTTAAGAAAATACTGTAATGGAGTAAATGCACCAAGAGAAGTGTTAAAAATATACTGTAATAAAGCATTCTTTTGGTCGAAAGTTGAAATTTGTTATGCATTATTTATTGAAAATTATAGTTTACTCATATCTTATTTTATAATTTTTAATAAATTTTAAAAGATAAGAGAGTGTATTAAGAAAATTGTTTTATACACTTTTGATAAAGGTGATTGTGTTAAAGATGGTTACAACTATTTAATTCAAAATTTATGCCCAAAGTCTTGAATAATTCTAGCCAACAACGCTCAAGAATTTACAAATCCCCTATTTATGAAAATCTAAAAAAAAATTTGTTGATTTTATTTTAATTGAGCCTGGTTGGATGTCAATAGATGACATGACATGTGCATAATTTTGTTAGAAAAATAAATAAGTAAATTAAATAATGTAATTCATGTGAAATATAATTATATGCCTAAATGTGATTTAATAATGTGATTTAAATAAAGGGACCTATTGATTAGTATAAAAAGTTATTATTTTTAAATTTTAAAAATTGATGATAACTAACTTGATGAAAGTTGGCTAAAAGAAGGAAATAAGGGTTCTATCTCTATTTTGTAAAATCACTCATTATTAACCGTCAAAAAAAGACTAAAGAAAAGGAAAGAGATAAATTAAAAAAGGAGAATGAAGAATTAATTTCATTAAGTTCTCATGGATTAAAATAAATCTCTTTTATTATTATAAAGACTAAAACTCTATTTTGGTCCCTTATAATCTTTTTTTGTTTTAATTTAGTCTTTCATTAATTTTTGGTCTCAAATTGGTCCCAAATTAATTAATTGGTTTCAATTTAGTCCCAAATTAATTAATTAGTTTTAATGTGGGACTTCCGTCCAAATTATTTAAACGGAGTTAACTTTTGGCCACGTGGATGCCACGTAGATGCATACGTGACATCCACGTGGATGAGAAAATTCTTTTTAATACACCTGGACCCGGAACGGCCCGTTCTGAAACCGGAATGGGCCGTTCTGGTTGCAAAATTAAAACACCACCAGTGAAGCAGAACGGGCCGTTCTGCTTTCAAAACGGCCCGTTCCAGAACTGTGAATAAAATATTTTTTACTTAATTGTGTTTTTGATATTATAATTATGCAATTTTGATCTCTAAGGTTTTAATTGAGTAATTTCAGTCCTTAAAAGATTATAATTGGTTAATTTTAGTCTCACAATTTTTAATTGAACAATTTTAATCTCTCAAATATCATAATTGTGGAATTTTAGTCTTTCTCATTAAAAATTTAATAATTTTAAAATTTTAATATATATATATATATAGTTTTAAAACTATATAATTGTTTGTTTATTTAAATTAACGTATATTATTTTTTTTAATGTATCAAATGATATATATTTACTATTACTAAATAAATAAAATTTATATATTATTAGTATTTTAATATTACTGATAAATTAATATCAATAATATTTTTACCCTTTTTATAAATAAACTAATAATTTGATAAATATAACTTAATATATATTAATATACTTTTACAAAAATATAAATATATAAGATCAGATATATATTTCTAATTAATATACTTATATTTTTGTAAAAGTATATTAATATATAACAAGTTATATTTATCAAATTATTAGTTTATCTATAAATATATTAATAATATTATTGATATAATATCGAAAATTATAATATACGTTAATTTGAATAGATAAATAATTATTTAATTTTAAAACATTATATATATATATATATAAATTATTAATTTTTGATGGGAGAAACAAAAATTATATTATTATGATATTCGAGGGACTAAAATTGTTCAATTAAAAATTGAAGGACCAAAATCGCGCAATTGCAATTCTTTAAGGACTAAAATTATGCAATTAAAATCTTGGAGATCACAAAACTGCACAATTGTAATACTTGAGAGATAAAAAATGCAATTAAACCAATATTCTTGATTAATTTTATTAAAAAATATAATAATTTTGAAAAATATTTTTTTATGGTAAAAATTTTAAAATTACTTATTTTTATAAAATATAATTGTCTTATAAATAGAGTAATAATTTTTTCTTTTTCTCTTTCTGTTTGAAGAAATATTTAAATATCACTTTATAATTTTTTGCAACTTATTTAAGATTAAAAGAATAAAATGATAAAAATTAATAAGATAAACATAATAAAATAAAATATAAAAAAATATTAATATATTTATTTTATTGGATATAATAACATAATTAAAATATAATTAATAATATATATTTTATAAAATTATTAATATTTTATATATAAAAAAATAAAATAAAACCGGAACGGCCCGTTCTGAAACTGGAACGGGTCGTTCTGGTGCATTTTGGGTGTGTTAATTTTGCACTTGGAACGGGCCGTTCCGGATGCAAAATTAACACACCAAAAGTGCACCCAGAACGGCCCGTTCCGGTTTCAGAACGGACCGTTCTGGGTCCAGGTGTTTTCAAAAAATTCTCCTCCACGTGGATGCCACGTATGCATCTACGTGGCGTCCACGTGACCAAAAGTTAACACCGTTAAAGCAATTTGGACGGAAAGTCCCACATTGAAACCAATTAATTAATTTAGGACTAAATTGAAACCAATTAATTAGTTTGGGACCAAATTAAGACAAAAAATTAATGAATGACTAAATTGAAAAGAAAAAAAAAATTATAAGAGACTAAAATAGGATTTTAACCTATTATAAATGTACGTGAGAATCATAGATTCTAAAATCTTTATCATATACAATAATTTTCTTGAATCATGAATGATATGAACGCTGCTTACAAATTTTTGATGAGGTTATCTCACAAACAATGTGTACAATTCCTTCTTCTTCAATGTGTATCAATCAGACTCAGGACTGGAACAATGCTATTCTGAACATCTGAGCAGGGAGAAATACGTCACAATGCAGAGTCTTTGAAAAATATAATAATAATAATAATAATAGACACACAAAGTTATATCATTTTCATAAGCGTGCTATTTCCATCTTTACCAAAAAAAAAGCGTGCTATTTCCTTAAATATATTTTTGCATTCCTTTTATGTTCTTAAACTAAGTATCACAACATAACTAATTCTCCAATCACTCGTTATCTCTTACAACTTGTTCCACTAGTAGACCCGGAATACAAGTCATTTGAGCTTTTAAATTTTTACTTTAAATGTTAAACAATTGCTGTTTGTCGTCAGTGCATCACTTTCTTCGACTATATAATTTCAAATTGAAAATTTTTATTTACAAATTTCACAATTAAGATAAAGACAGAAGAGAGAAATAGGAGATGTAAGAAAAAGAAATAAAAAAATGTTGAATAAATTATTATATGAATTGTATAAATAATACATCTTTTTCAAATTACTATTATGCAAGTTTTACATATGTTAATAGTGGAGTGTTTTGCAAAACATGGCAAGAACTCGAGTAAAATCAAAATTAATTTTTAAAAAAATTACTTTTGAATTTGAATAAAATTCATCATACACTTTTTGGTTAATTATACCCTTTTAAGTAACGAGAGAAATAACGCAGTAAAAAAAAGTAAAGAGAAATAATATTAACACATTTTCTAACTCACTTTATGAATGCTAAAATTTATTAATAATTAAAAAATTTAAATTTTCACTTTTTAATTAATAATTTTTGTTCATGACTTTATATTTTTTAATTAATTTTAAGTAATAAATATTTTTAAAATTGGATAAGTCAAAACACTGATTTAACCATAACTTATACTAATAAAATAATACATAAAATAAAATACAGAAAATAATTACATAAATTTACAATGCTAAGAATTAAAAATAAAAAATAATTTTATCAATTCTCAACTATGAAAATGTATACAAAAACTCAAATTAATTACATCATTACAATTAAGTCTAAATTCTAAAATATATCACATTTACTAACAATAATAAATTTACATTTTGAATATAAAAAAATCCGTTGACCCACCATGAACCTTTTTTTAGTGGTTTGACCAGTTCTCTAATTATTTTTTTTTCTGGTTTACGATCTGCCTCTTCAATCTGATTTTCAAAACACAGGCAGATTGTTACTTGAATAAATTACATTTATTCCTTAATTCTAAATAATAAACTTACTATATTAATATGTAAAAATAATTACGATTTAAATGTAACAAAAATCCCCTTAATAATAACCCTGTAGTGCTTCCTCTGTATACTGTATTTGATCGGTTTCAAATTTCAATAGTTTTCTTCATAAATTTTCGCAAATTCCACGAAAGAGGCACCAAAATGCCAAACTAAGCCTATGATTTTTGAAAACGAATCGAGCAAAAAATCAATCCTTTTCAGGTAAAACTTTATATTTTTTTTTTTTTTTACAGTTGACAAGTCAAACTGGTGACATTCTGGAAACTGCAATTGTGCAACCGCGCTAGATGTAATAGCATCCTTTCCTAGAATTACTTCATACTGACGAGGTTTAGATCCATCTCCACTCTCCAATAACCAAATATCATTGTTATCAGAATCCGGAAAATCAATGAGTCAGGTAAAATCCCAAATGAATCTGAACAAAAAACTCATCGTCTCTGATCATGCCACTTTCTATTCCCCTGCCTACCAGGGTCCCAATGTCCAGAAGAACCCCTCTGCCTTGACCATTCAGGTCTATGATTTCTTCCATGATTCATTCTGGACTCGGGGTAGTTTCTACCCGGTGCATACCTAGGATTTCTAGTTGGACTATTCTCCGGGCTCCATGATTCAAATTCTCCCCTTCCATGATTATTTCTATCCCAAATACCAGATTGTCTGGAGCCCCCAACCATTGTGTTATAGTTATTATGATTTCGTTGAGAATGATAACTAGATGACACTTCCTGCTGCCTAACTCTCCACGTATCAGACCCATGATCTGATTTTTCGGTTTGTGGCGGGTAGGAATGCACAGGGGTACGATAGGAAGGTTCAGTGTAATGAGCTTCCTGTTGATGATGTCTTTGTTGCTGTGGGGCTGAATGTTGATGATGTCTTTGTTGGTGTGAGGCTGAATGTGATGGCGTTGGTGAGGGTAACCTGAAGGTTTGTGGGAATGAGTTAGACAAACCCTCGTGTTGTACACTCAAATTAGGTACAGGTTTTACATAATTGGTGCCTTCACCCCGCATTGCTAGAGTTGAATGTGTGCCAGATAATTTAACAGAAGATGCATTTGCAGTGATTAAGTTGTTCTTCATGGTTAAACCTAGATCTGAGGACGGTGTTTGTACATGCATGAGAGGTGGTGGCTTTTCAGGAATAACATTAGTTGCCTGAGGCAGTGAATATGGAGAAACTGATGTGCTTGAAAGCTGCCTCGAAGATGGAACCAAAATTGTTGCCTGTTGCCTTACTGTAGTGGCAGTTACGGGAATCTGAGATACTAAGTTGGTAGATGCCACTGAAGCATGGTTCTGGATAATTCTATCAGGTGCTACACTTCGCCGAGAAAAGGGATTTTTTGATGCTTCTGTGCTCCATCCACTCTGAAAAGTTAATAAGATGGGAATCCGTTAGTTAATGTAGTAACCAAAATATTTTTAACAATCGTTGACAAAGTTAATGAGTTCAGTTTTATCACGTTGACAAATGTAAATTGTAAGGAAACATAGGGTGTGTTTCTTTTTCCCTTTCCAAGACAAAAACGTAGAAACAAGGTGATGTTGGATTGGCGTCCAGCTGGAAGCAAACGGAAAAAGAAACACATATAGAGGGGCCCTGCATACATTGTTGGTCAGGCCACGGGTCTCAACACGCATCAAAATAAATGATTGGCTACTCTAAATACAAGCAGAACTACTGCAAGGGGAACCTATTAGCAGTACGAAAGCTTGTGAGATTACGCCCATAAGTTTCCCTAAATTAGCTGTTTGCTAATAGAGAATATTTATTACGTTGCATGCAAGAACTTGACCGAAGAAAATCTTGTAAAAAAGAAGCACGAGAAGAACTTCGAAATCAATTCATTTCGATCTCAACTTGGGCCCCCATAGAAAACCCATTTCCCCCAACACCCTAAGCTATTTTTTTTTTTGTACATCACTCTACGCTATATGAGTGCTATACGCTCTCCACTCTCAACACGTATAAGCAGCAAGCATGGCTTAAGTGGGGTGTGCATAGCACTGCAATAGGAAACACATCAGGCATGATGATTAAGATCTTTGACAAATAGTTGTAGTATGAACTCAAATCACGCACCGTTCTTGGATCGCTCGAGGGAGTTGGAGATGGGAGAGAAACTTCCACCTTCTCCGGGGCTTCTACACTCGTGCCATAATTGCCATTTGTACTTTCACTTAAACCCAAACTCACACCTCCTCTCTTAATCATATCAAGCAGCTTCACGGTTTCTTCACTAGGTATGCTACCAGCTTGTCCAGAAGTTAAGGCAAATACCAACCCTGGATTTTTTAGCAGTACGGCAAGCAATTCTAAATCAGGCTCAGCAGTAGCCAAACTGGTTGAAGATGTGGAGGCCACCCCTTGAACAGCATGAGTTGCATCCTGATTGGGGGAAACGGCTATTTCAGCACCATCACCATCTGGCAGCTGTTCAGTAGGAATTTCCGGTGTCAAAGTGTCATCATAGTCCATTTCAAGGTCCCAAGGCTCTTTGGGGTTAGGTGGCATCTCTTGGACGGTCTTGTATATAGTTTCCCTTTCCCTGCGGATTCTGTTTTTCTGAACATCAACCTCTTTGCTATTTTCACCGCGACCAACTCTCCAGGTATCTTTAAGTTTTACTTCTGCAAAAAAGGAACAAAAAGGGAAAGATTTGAAAACCGAAGTCTGAGAAACTAAAGAAAGCTGTTGCTTACACGAGTTACAATAACCACAAAAAAAGACACTAGAAACCAAATTCATTTAGCAATTCCACTCCTTCTAGTACTACCTCAAAATATAAACGGAGTGTATTTTATGCAAGCATCAAACAGATGCTTAGTCGATGCAATGTAATGATTGGCACCACAGAGAAATTCAATAACAGACAGGAAAATTCCAATCTCAGGGTAGTGTTTTCTTAAGGTGATGGCTATAAAGTAATCCATGACTTGCTAACCTTGTAAATGTATCATCAACAACTTCCCTCCATCAGATCATTTGCCAATTTTATTTATATATTAGTAATAACAAATCAATGAGGAATATTTATATTGCAAATCCAAAAAATATCTCAGCAATAATAAAAAAAGTTTCTATACTTATATATATATATATATATATATATATATATATATTACAAGATTAACAAACTTCATTAGATCAGAAGGGGCAATTTAAAAAAGTGTTTCAAGAGAAATGGAACAGGAATAGAAGAGAATGTAGCTGGCCACATTCGTTTTAATATGACAAACAAAAGTATGTGAGCACTTCATGAATTTTCAAGGATTGGAGGTTGGGTGATTAATACACTGTAAAAGCTTGTAATTTTCAACGGGGGCTAATAAACCAAATGGAATTCACCAAACGAAAATGGATAATCCTTGCTGTTTACAGTCTCTGAATGTCGCAACCAACAAAATTAAAGCTACAGACGACCATCAACCCTGATTGAATTAATTTGGAGCTGGAATTCTTACAATGGCAGGATGTAGTTTATATACTCAAGACTTGCAACTATACTCCATAACTTGGGCAACTTTGTGATAAAAACATGCAAAGCAGACGACATGAATAAAATTACAAACTCCTTCGCCCCTTGGATAAAGAAACAATGCTCCATCCAGATATGCTATCATAATTCAAAATTACATATTTAACCAGAACATGGAACAGCACAGAAAATAGAGCCTCCTTTATGATATCATAATCAAAGCTTCTGCCTAATTTTATTCGTTAATACAATAATAAATTGATAACTATAGTATAAGATGCCAGATGAAGTAGATAAAATTAACTTTGAAGTTCAGTGTGTTCTCAAGAACGCCCAAGGGGGTTGAAACCCCCGTTGTATTTTAAGAAATTCAGAATTGTTTATTTTCATTTTATATATTTGGGACTAGGCACCTCATATATTTCTACCATTACTATACATCAATAACTAGGACTATGAATTGATCCTAGTGAAGCACTGAATCTCATTATAGCAAAAATGTCATACATGGACTAATAACGGATTACGCCCAAACCATCCATGCATATATTAACTTTTATTCCATGAGCCATGCCAAAGGTGTAAAGGAACACAAAATCCAATTGCGATAATTTGAATTTTTCTTTTTAGGAAATCCGGACATCAATATTATTGCTTTTAAAAATATTTTAACAATGATCACCATGTTATTGCCAATTTGTAAAACTGATCCTTTATCCCTGCGATCACCTCAATATTTAGCATAGCTCGTGATAGACAATTACAAGTCCTCAAACGAGATATTTTTAAGCCCATTCTTTATAAGAGATTTGGGAGTATCACGCCATTTTATAAATTTGTGCAGATAAGACGAAGGGAAAAAACCAATTTGATAAATTGTCCAATTTTTGAGATAGTGCAAGATCCTAAACCCTCGTACTAATCCTTGTTAGTATTTGAATCTCAATCCCAAGGGGCCGCATTTGAACAGCAATGTTTTATTAATCTCGAACAATACTAAAATTGTAGTCGTATATACAACCGCCCAAAATACCCAAGTTACTTACAGAACACAAGGTTAGACCACGACTCTTTATTTATATAAGGTGAAAAAAGCAGCAAAAGGGGATCGGGTCAATAAGGAGTTAGCGTCAAAGGTAGCAAAGAAGCGTCTGATATTGTCCTCCAAGAAAATGTGCAGGGAATTGACTAAGATATACCTCTTGTTAACTCAACATCAGCAAACCTGTTAATATGGTCTGTTCTCAAGGTGTCTTTCAGTCTTTTAACGGCTGTCAAAGAGTTTCGCCATTTTTCCTATTCCTAGTATTATAGAAATGTATTTGATGGAACCAACAAAAAAATTGCAAATGTACCTGCTGGTATTTTCCATGGGATCTGAACCCTTTTGCACTTCTCCCAGAGAGGTTCCTTCACATCCATTTTCGGTTTTGAATATGAAGCTTCCAGCCTATTAGTGGTTTTAGAGGCAAGTAATAGAGGTTTCTTGTTTTCTTCAATTTTGGGTGGAGTAGGAACTTTAGAAGAGCAAGCTGCAATACTGGCCGGGTTTGTCTGAGGTTTATTCAGACTATCAATCTTTGTTTCTTTACTATCTTTTGAAGAACCAGTTTTCCCATACTTACTCTGCATAAATAATGCACGCATTTTTGCTTTCTGGATATCATCAGCAGACATAGGACGCCCTTGACTTACAGGCCCTGCTCTCATCACTTGTGAGCTTCTGCTGGCTGACTTTTGGCCTGGCTGTTCCACCAATTGCACTTTTCTGCGCTCCCTTGATTCTGATAGAGGTTAAGGAATAAAAAATACATATAGCCTACATTTTGCATGACTCAACAAATAGGGGTGCTATGAACATTCTCTTTGATGCATTATTATTATTGATAAAATTTTATCGAGAATCATAATAAATAGGGAGCAGGACCCACAACACTTAATAAGTCTCAAAAAATTACACTCAATAATAGAGTATATTAAAAAAAATGTATTGTTAGCATTTCCCTCAGGTAACCCACCACTTTGGTCCTTGAAACACTGATGACATCAATATGGTCCTTCGATGATAATATTTAGACATCAAAATAGTCCAAAAATTATAGTTAGTCAGCTAGTTTCAGGTATACAATGCAAGTTATGATAAATTAGGAATCAACACGACGAACTTCCAAGAATTGGCAATTGTCCTGAGCTGAAGAAATCAGAATGTTACACAAGAACTTTCAAGAAGGCAGAAGCTACATAAAATTAACTATGAAGCAGAGCATAAGAACATTATGGTGCACAAGGAATCCAAGTCACGACATTTCAAGAAAATCAGAACAGCAATCTGGAATAGACAGATATAATGTCACTAAGTGGCTAGAAAGTTGAGATTAAATCACTTGGCCAACACACTAAAGTACTTCTATATTGGCTTGTATGAAGGAAAACTAACGAACTTCTGTCAGCACTCCAAAATAACATTCAGAGGTTTTATCTAAAGCATTTTATTTCCTGTGTATGTGATTTGATATGCTTAAAGAAGGAAATCCATCAGCATTTTGCCTGACTTAAAAAGATAGTCAAGTAAAGCATTCAAGGATACGAGATGAAGATACACCAAGAGTGGACTTTCTGTTAGAATCATCCAAGCTGGAAGGCAACAATTTCATAACTTGTGGAGATCCAACTTTCCTGAACAGAGATAAAACAAAATGGAGCCTTTTCACAACTAGCAAAAGCAAAGCCGATTAACTCAAGCAGGTATGCACAAAATTATTGGCAGAAAGACATTCAATTAAAAAAACAGATGACTGAAAGAAAGCAGACACAACCTAGGCATACCTGAAATTATCTGAACATTCATTTGAGAGAGCGAGAATGTCTTCCTGAGAGCAAGAAAGGAGCACTAAGAAACATGCAAACAACTGAAAAGGCATTGCTAGCTGAAACATATATGTTTAGGAAAACACTTACAGGAACATCAATATTTGAATGCCATGATTCAGAGCCCATAAATTGACCAATGCTGCACAAATAGAAATCGTAATAAATGAGAAAGGAGTTCCAACAAATTGTGCATGGAAAAGATATAAAATGTAAGCTTGCCTCTGAGAAAGCATTAACTCTTTATGACCATCACTAGAAGACTTAACACCATTGGGCCTCTTTATTGCTTGGTTCCTTGCCAATAATTTGCTCCATTTTGACAATAAAACCCTTGCCCTGTTTGATATGTCTGATACTCAAATCAGTGAGATTATAATTCCAATGTCTATTAAGTTACTAAAGTAACCACTTCTATAACTGACATCGAAAAGCATTCTTCAAAATTAAGATTTGAAACTATTTGCAGGCATCAAGCAAAATATTGAAAGGATTAAGTGTTATATCAATCAACATGAACACGACTTTTATAGAGTAAAATTAAGATGTATCTTATCTATTATTTGGCTGTCTGATAAAAGGTGACATTTAACAATTAAAGGCCCTTCCTCCTCTCTATCTTGCTACTTCAAATATCAATAATATCAATTTTAGCAAGAAACTCACCAACTAATGTATGAAAACCTAGAATTCGTGCTTCAAATGAAAAATAAAACCTCAAACAAGCTAAACAGATGTTAAAGTATTTCCTGATGCAAGAAAATATGCTAAGCTGTTATCATATACCAGCCCATTGCATTCATAAACTTTGATGGGCACTAGGCCAGGAAAAGATAAAGCACACCTGATGTCCTGTAGAACCGTAGTTTATTTACACTCTGCAATATAGCTGATATGTGCATGGGAACAGCTTTATGTAAAGGCAAATGACAAAGAACCTGCAAAACAGTTAACCAGAAAGTTCAATAGTATTCAGTTATGTGCCAATTAAATGATGCCAAATATTAACCAGAGGATTCAAATTTACTTTCAAGATAAGAAGAAGGACAGTTGTTTGCTCTTCAACAGCTGCGTTACTCAACCAAGTTGCTAAAGTCATTCCACCCCCTTTGGTCAAAAACCTAGCAGCATTCAACAGAAAAGCTACATCAGAAAATATAAATTACTATAATTCAATACTACCATGCTATTGATAAAACCAATCGTTTACCACAACAATACTGAAAAATTCTGTATTGTCAATATCCACTCCATCAACTTCTCCTGCCCAGAAAATGTCTCCTCTTTCTGCATTAAGCTAAAAATGTTATCAACAAATTGTTTATCTGAGTCATCTAGGTCAGACAAAGCTGCTTCCTGTGCTGAACAAGATTCTTCAGCATTGGACAGGCCAACAGAGTTTAAAGGAGCTGGATCTATTGGTCTCGCAGGATCAGAATTTATTTGATCATCATGAGGTTCTTCACAAGAATTAGAACTTAATGCCCTCTCCTTTGACAACTGCACTATTCTCCTCACTCTTGAACGTTGACTAGTGAAAAAGTCACGCACCTAAAACCAAAGCACAAGGATTCATAAATTAAACTGGGAAACATGTTATCTTAAAGTTAAAATAAACTTCAAAGTTAATACAACCCTCTTCTGTCCACAAAAAGGGTGACAAATAATAATCTAATGACAACTTGAATAACAAAAAAGGTGTTGGACAGGAAATATATCTATATACAACATCTCAAGTACATAGATCATTGATCATTCCATAAGGACAGATAGAAAGGACCAAACAGGAAGCAGAGAAATACAAACCTGTGTCACCGTGACACCAAATAAAGCACTGATCTCGCGCAATTCTTTCTTGCTAACAGCATCTTTAATCGAAAAAATTGATTGCATGTAATTTACAGCCTTCGGATTCAACAAATCCCTAGGTCTTTTCCCTGCAAATTTGGATTAAGTTAGAGACATCCGATGCTAAACAAACAGCAGAATGCTGCCTCAACAAAAACAACAAAAAACTTACCAATTTTTATTGACAAAGCACCAGCTGCCTGCACACACAGAAAAAAATGGACAAAATGAGACACTCAAACGATGCCTTAAAATGACTTATTACTGGAATGTGCTTACAACTAATTCTACAAAACGCTTAAAGTGATTCCAAGTAAAGCAGCATAAATTTTGAATCAAAACGCAACTAAGAGGCTTTTGACTTTTTTCATGAGCCAAACCTAAACAAAAAGAAATAGAGATGAAAAGGTTTGAGAGGACACCATTTCTTGAGAGAGAGGATTGACGCCGGTGAGATTGCATTGCGTGACGACGATTTCCTGAAACTGATCGATCTGGCTGTGGAAGAGCTCTCTTTGCGAAACCAAAAACTTCTGGAAAGATTCGGCGGAGCTCCCAATCTCCAGCTCCGAGAAATCTTCGTTCCACACATCCATTGTTGACAACGAAGATCGAAGCTCCTTCGACGCAATGCGTGGCAACACGCATTTAAGTAACGGTGATTGAATCACAATGCTTCTCTCCGGGAACGGAACTGGTTAGGGTTTGGGTCGGAGCTAATTTTGGAGAGAGAAAGTCAGATAGAGTATTGAGTCGGATGAGAGAGAATTAGGCCATGTTCGGTTGAATTTCAGGAATTACTTTCCAGGCTTATTAAAAAGATTAAGGTCGTCTCGTCTTTACTAATCATTATTTTATAATTTAAACTATATAAAAAATAACCATTCAATAATTTTTGCATTTGTAACTTAATAAATATTTTACTTAATAATGAAATTTTATATTTTTACCGTAATAAACATATTAAAAAAATTAAAATGATAAAGAGGACGAATGATGATAAATTTACCGCTATATAAATAAAGGTAAATACTAATAATTACATATTTTAACATTAATTAGAAATATAAATAAACTATTAGTTATATATATATATAACACATTATGATAATAATAATAATAATAATTTTTCATTATTATCTAATAAAGATAAAAGCTAACTAATACGTACTTTAACATTAATTAAAAATTAAACCTTAAAACATCCTCAACGATACAAAGTGAGAAAAAAAATAGTGAAAAATAATAATTCAAGAAAAGTTGTAAGATGATGAATGATACTTAATAAATATATGTTTTGAAGCATGAAATTTTCCATAAACACGAGAAGGATGTGAATATGAAATGTATAGTGAAAAAAATAATAATCTACTAGTTAAAAGGGATAATTAATTTTTATTTAAATGTTGAATAATTTAATTAAGAATGTAACATTGTCATCTTATAACTCTATTATTTGATTTAATAGTTATTGTTGAGAGTTTTATTATTTGATTTAATAGTTATTGTTGAGAGTTTTGGAACCGGAAGATTCTAAGAGCATGTTAATTTTTTGAGAATTGGATCAAAAATACATAAAGTTGACACATAAAAGATATAAAAGAAAATTTTTTAAAAAGGAAATTCATAATTTAAGTTTTTCAAGAAATTTAGGGAGAAGTTATAGAGAGGATTACTTCTTCTTGCTTTCTTTCTTCATTCTCATTTGAACTTTCCTTCTCAGTCATTTCGCATTTGACCATAGGAGGTGGTGAAGAAGTTTAAGCTTCAGGGTTGGGACTTCAAGCTTATGGTGTGTGTGAAGTCGCTTCTTCTTCTTTTCCTCTTGCAGGTTATTCTCCGAGAGGTAAGGGAAACTCGAATTTCAAAATTAAAGTGTGTATTATATGGTTGTGATGATCGGAATGAATTACCTAAAGGTGTAGAGTACTTGAATGATGAAGTTGAAAGGGGTTTCCATGGGGTTTGTTGTTCAAGGGTGTTCATGGAGGTTCATGCTTGATTTTGGATTAATTTTAGTTGCATACTATTTTTGATGATGAAATTATGTTGTATAAATGTTGTTTATTGTGTTGCGCGTTGTGGGAGTTTGTTGATTTTCAAGAAATTGGGCGAAATTGGATTTTGTACAAGTGCAGAATTTGATATCGTGTTAGATGCCCTTTCAAGGTGTCAGATGTGATTCCAAAGAAAGACCTTTATCTTGTTCACATTGAGCGCAAAATTGATGGCGTACTCAACTCGAGTTGGAATTATGTTAGCGTGAGGAAAGAGATTCGTCTTTACCAAGGTTCATGCTACATGTTAAAGTGTGTGACGTTAAACGTGAGTCAGACATAGAGTTCTTTACTTGTTTGGGGTCGTGCGTGGGTGTTGCCACGCTAGGCGTGAGAGTGTGGGGCACACTCTACCTCAATCACACAGGACATCCAGTGAGTGATGTCAGACGCGAGTTGTATGATGAGAAGTTGTTAATTAATGTTGATTAAACGTTGATTGATGTTTAATGAGTGGTATGATGTAAAGTTGATCAACTTAGATTGTTTAACAATTGAATTATGATGACATAGTTGTATGAATGATGATGTAAAATGATATATGAATATGATGTGAAGTTGTGAGTTGTTTTATGTTGTCTTTAGTTGATTTTTGATGGTATTTGTTCAAAGTTGTGAATGTTGCAAAAACGTATGTTGTTTAAGTAATATGTTGTAGAATTGAAAATTGAATGTTGTTAAAGCTGATAAATTGAATGTTAAAAGTTAATAAAGTTGATAAGTTATAAATATGTAGGTCAAATACCTACGATACATAAAAACTAGAAGAGAATTAAAGATGTTTTTAAACTTAATATTTCATTATGCAAATATACATTCCGGTGCTTAGAGAGTCTGATTGAACCCTTCAACAAGTAAGTTGACCTTTGAATGGGTAGGTTTTTTTTCAATTGTCTCCTCTAAGTTCTATATGATATATGTGTGTGGGTAAGGTCAAGACACACATGTATAAAATGACCAACCGAGTAAGTGACCTAGAGGGTTGTAATATTTAGAGAGTAGTCGATGGACTATCCTCATAAGTGACTTAGTGTTCAGACTAATATTGTGATAAACTCATACTCAAATTATTTTATCCTAACATAATACCATACTTTCTTGTTTAAGTGGTGAAATCTGAGAAATCAATCTAGCTTATATTAGTCATTGTTTCAGGCATTGTGCTAGCCATTGTATCTGATATCAGTGTCAACCATTATTTTTAGTATTATATTAACCATTGTGATTCGATAAGATCAAGCCATTTAAACTGTTCAAATTAATATGTAAGAGATCTTTGTAGATGACATGCGTGATGACACATTAAATGATGTATGTGTCTTATATATTGATGTGATGAACATGTTATGAGATGTTAAGTTGTTATGGTGACGATGATGTCCTGTTGTTAGTTGAAATGTTGTAATATGTTGATGTATTCATAAATTGTTATGTTGAATTATTTTTCACAAGTTTTATCCATGTTTTTTTTTTGTAGTTAGAACTACGATGATCATACTTGGCATGAGAGTATGGTAAGATTAGTAAGATGACTCGTATAGTTAGAGGTGGCTAGATTTTTTGTTGATGACTACTCTTATGTAATCATGTTTTATATAGACACTGATCGACATTTAGGCTTATTTTGCAACTGGTACTATATTATGTATATAGTATGTATATATTTAATACTAGTTACTCATTATATTATAAATTCTAATTATAGTGTATGTTGCTTAACCTTTCGTTATGAAGTAATTGTTTAGTAGCAACTATAGTAACCTATCGGATAAAAAGATACAAACTACTACCACTTATTCCAACTAATATTGATAGGATGTCTCATCCCCTTTAACATGGACTCTTTATTGATAAAAAAAAAATAACATAACTTAGGAAGATAAAATGATTTGAGTAGGAAATTTTTTAAGTTAACCTATTTTTTCTCTCAATTTATTTTCACACATTAAAGTTATAATATTTTTTTATATAAATATTAATATTACATTGTCTTCTTATTTTATCTTAAAATTTACTGTTTCTTCTAAGAAATTAGAGAATATGACACTTTATTTAATTTTTCATTTACTCGTAAAATTTAATTAAAAATTATTACAAAAATCCACTTTTTCCTCTCATAATATATACAAACATATTAAACTTTATACTATAATTCGAGAGGAATCAAATCACACATTACTGCTTAAAATATTTTTCATCGAAATGCAGATTTTGTAAAATATTTTTAAGAAAATATATTTTCAAAATACATTTTACAAGAAGATTTCTACACCAACATTGGTGCATTTATTGTTTGATTTTGCTATATTATTTTGTGCATCAACTTTTTATTTCATAGTGAGAATATAATTGTGCGATTAGTTTAAAAATCACTGCGGATCATTTCCTTTATACTAAAATTAAATTGATTACAGAAAATTAAGATATAGATTATTGGAATTCAGTTTTTATTTTTAAAATTTATTATATCATTATTCTTCTTTAAAAATTTAATGTAAATTATTTATTTTATTTAATACATACACAATTGAATATATTAATATTATTTATTTAAAGTTTTTAATTTATTTATTTTAAGGTCCCTTAACTTTTTGTTTTTTAAATAGGTCCCTAAATTATACAAATTTGTAATTAAGTCCTCAATCTTTTTCCAATTTTTATAAATTAAGTCCTCCCAGGATAAGTAGGTCCATAAACTATTTAATATTTCCAATTATAACTTCACAAGATGCACCAAATGGCACTGGCTACCAAACCCAAAGGATGATAGATACTCAGTTTACTAGTAAAAGGTAGATGAATACATTAAAAGAACAGGTACGTTAGTAAAGTCAAAATTTAAAATTAAATGTCCAATACTAGCAGTTTAAAAAATACATGTAATATCATTGACTAAGGGAAAAGCAGGGGGAAAAAATAAAAATAAAAATAAAAAATGAAACAAAACTCCACCAAGGTCAGTTACAGATTCGGCCAGCTAATTGTAGCTATATCTGGACTTTGCCTCAGTTGCTCAAACCTGCAACCACAGAACATTGTTAAGTTGGCATCAAACAACTAAAAAGTGCAATGCGGAGCGTTGACTAGAATATGATGCTGTCATATACCCACATAAAGTACAAACAGAAAACCATCAAGCAAGTAGGACACGGCATATATTCATAATGAGCTAATCCTTTGAGGGAGCAGCGTCTTACTAGTAATCAATAACTCGAATGACTTGTACATCCCTATCTATATCTCTGGTATTAGTTGCTGAGCAACACATGTGAAATGCCTGACAATCTTGACATAAATCCTTGCAATAAACTTCGTAAAACTTTAAAATAATTCTATGACTACAATCTAAGTTATTCCCTAAAGCCATTTCTGAACAGGAAACTAGTTAAACTAAAAAGATCAGCAACTAATTAGAATATGCTGAGCTGCATCTGAGGCACACGTTAACACATATATGTAAGGATTTGTACGCTTATCCCTTTTAATATAAGATTCTACCCTTAAAATAGAGCAATGATCAACGATTTATTCAATATTCCAATCCTAACCAAATCTAAATAATCAATAAAGTATCTATTTGTAACATTCTACATCAAAGAAATTAAAATTAAAGTTTATATGAAAATTTATAACACTTACATGTTTATATTAAAAAAATCCCAAGCAATGCACAAGTAATAGCGCTAGTTTAGCAGTAATACGATCACCAAGGAATATGCCAATGATAAATTGATCATAATGCCAAAATACCTGTCAGATTCTGCATGAAGGCAGCAACTAGCTTCCACCATCTCTAACTTCAATCTATAATGTTTATTTACACGTCCACTGCATCTCTTCAGGGGGTAAAAAAGAGATATGTAATGCAATCAAGAGTTTGAGATGCTTTGACATTCACTTGGCTAACAACAAATGTATTTTACAAGACAAGCGTACTTTTACACCTCAAAGTTGACAATCCATTTGCAGTAAATTGCCTGCCACTTTAAAAAATTCTTGCTGTACATCCCTCCTTTTATGTTTTCCACTTGGTCTCTATCAACAACAAAATAAGTAAAGAATATTATTCTACCGCTAATCCCGACATTGTACAAGACAACCTGCATGTAAGTCAAAATTCATATCAGGAAAAAATAAAATCTGAGAAATAAAGTAGCAGGAACAGAACAAGCATGTCCTTGTATTAAGAAGAAATGCTCACTTTAAACTGACTCTCTTTGACTTTTCTTTCTGCAAAGAGATATTGGACAAGAGGAGAAAGAGCAGTACCCACTGGTAGAGCATGATTGCAGTAATGCAAAATCCACAACTTCCTCTCTCCAGAAGTTACAACTATACACATTTACAGATTGACAAAATAATAAACCTCCATAATGAGAAGAGGACAACTGATAGCAATTAGTCTTAAACTTCTAAGTCTATCCATATCCACCTATTATATCTTCAATTTATAATCTGGATGTAGCATCATTCATTCCACATAATAAAGTAGCTCAGAATCTGTATGACAGGAGCTTACTTCTAAGTGCCTCCACGTTATCTCAAGGTTTGCAAAGATTTTATCCTTGTACACAGCAGAGAGCAACTGAATTCCTCTGACTGTAAACTGAGACTTCCATTTCACAGTGTATGGCAAACATACGTATAGAGACAGTACTAGCTTCACCAGTTGGCAAGACTGGATCAAGATCTGACAAAATAAACCTTGTCCTTCAGAATTTAATTCAGACTGTCTTTTTGTCAGAGTGCGGATTTTATACATGACCAAGAAACAATTGTTCTTAACAGGCTAGAATCTTTGATTGAATATCCTTCAACGATTAATGGCCTCCACGGCAACCCGTACCAAATGTAGTAACCCCTCCACATCTTGAAAGCTAAAATCAAGAGCCTTCTTGATAGAGGAGATACCATCTGCATTCTTGCCCACGCCTGGGCTTGAATTGGCAGCTGCAAAAGCAATCCGTGATCTCCTCGAGGCATCCATGGCAAAACAAACATCCTGAGCCTGCAAATGATACATGTCCTTAATTCCAATATATCATATGCAACCAAAATCAGACAACAAAGGACGTAAGCTAGCATTATAGTTGTTAGTACGGGCATCCCTTTTGTCATAACTGTAATAATTGTTGCAACACCAAGTGTGTTTGGGAAAACTTTTTTCCCAAACTTTCAGTTGTCTTTACATAAGAAAAGCAGTTTTTTGTTTCAGCCGGTTGTTTGGAGACATTGCTTAAACTTTGAAAAGCTTTTTTCATTAAATTTTAAGCCGTTTTGTAGCATCCAGAACATCGAACTGTTTTCTTATTATCTAATAGTTTCTTTTTCATTTAACATTCTATTTCCCAATTTACCCATCACATTACTCTCCTCACCAACCTTTGGTTCTACACACCTACCTCCATTACTGATGCTGGCTTGTCTTTGAATCCACATTCATTTAATTACTTTCCTCCATTGCTTCACAACACTCCTTCGTTCTCGATTGGCTTCATCGTTCATCAATTTGCTTTCTTTATTTACTTGTAATCACACTTTTATTATTTATATGTATTCAATTTGTAATAGTTCAAAAAAATTGATGATAAAATATTAAAAAAAATCAAATAATATTTATTAATGCAAATAAATAACTATATATACTCTTTTTTGTAATTTACTAATAAAAGCTGGTTTTTTTATCCAAACAAAACTAATTATCTTAAAATCGCTTTTCAACAAATCTACCCAAAGAATAATTGATTATGATTATAATATAATCATAATCAATTATACATATTCGATCATCAAAATAATCTAATTTTCACACCTTTCTCAAACATACCCTAAAACTGCACTCCAGATCACAGGACCATATGATATGATTCTATAAAGCTAACATGCCCTAGCAATCTGAAGTAGGGATAGAATTGGAATAAAATAGGAGCACAAAACGATTGTACCTATTGCCTATTGGATTTGGATACCATTTTTTTTGCAAAAATTTTACTCATGGACAATTTGCGGAAATTAGGGTTTAGCAATAAGATAGCCTAGTAATTCAGAAAATAAGACCATCAAAATCTATAATTCTATATCCACAAGATAGCCTAGCAATTCAGAAAATAAGACCATAAAATCTATAATTCTATATCCACAGTTCCTAAAATTTAGAACTGATTCATCCTTGAAAAAAACATTGGTCATTTTTCCTTGATGATATGCTTCCTCTCAGTTTTAGGAAGTTACATTCCTTCAGTTGATTTAATGTAACATACTACGATGTTTTAAATTCAAACAGTTTGCAAGTTGTATATTTCTTTGGCCATCCTCACATCTATAGGTAAAGCTACAGTATTTTACTTGCTTTTACTGTGCACATATATTTGACTTATCTTTGTTAGCTTAGCCATCAAAGGCTAAACTAAAAAATCTACACGTTTGGTGTTTATGACTACATTTATCTCCTGTGAAAGCTTGAAAAAGGATTCATTAGGTATTGAGTCAAGTTCAAGGCTTACCGCCATTTATTTTATTGCATTTTTAATATATTGTAATTTTATTAAAATTTTAGCACTTCTATATTTTTGCAGGATGCTACAATCCTCGACCAGATAAATTCAATCCTTTAAACTCCATCATAGATGCTAACTAGGCACCATATTTCACAGCACAATGAGTGAAAGCATAGACTGACATGGCAATCACTGATATAATCAACAGTTCAAGGGCCTTCAGAATTTTAAATTATTCTCAAGTAAAATGTATGTATGTATTCTTCTTCACTATTGTTTTGTATTAAGTTTCTAAGGCAATCTATGTGAGGAAATGGGTGGCTTTTGTTAAGATCATTCTTCTGGAACTATATACTTACAAAATTGAGCAATCGCACAAAATTGGGACGATTTCGTGCAGCAATAACATGGCTTCCAGCTACTTGTGGCGAATTGACACTCTTAGATATGGTGACCTTGTCAGCTGCTGTAGAGTTGTTAACATTGTCAACGTCAGAGGCAGATGACGATGGAGATTCACCTGACAAATGAAACAAGGTTCAAAAAAAATCAGCTTAATCTACTCCCTAATTGCATCACCACAATGTCAATAGCACTCCTGAGAAAGTGAAACAATAGTCCATTTACATGACAAAAGGAAAAAACAATTTTTAGACTTGCTAGTATTAAGCAAATTAGTCATATCTAACTTTTCTTTTATGTTCATATTCTACTCTTTTACCTTGTTCAAACATCAAGGTGCATTTCATAAACAAAATAATTAAACACTTTCTTTAATAAAAAGTTTAAAAGTCATCCCATTAGCGTTGCTTATTCATAAATTTGACTGAGGCTTACTGAAATTTGCTTAAAAAGTGCTTATTTGGATAAATTTCTCCATGAAACACATTGAAAGAAACTAAAGGCAGCTTATAGGACCATAAGCCTGAATAAGGTCCCCACCAAATAGGATATGCATCCATGATCATGTCATAATGCTTGTCAGATGAGCAATGTTCAGATAATCTATTAAAATGAAGGTGACATGATATTTTTTCTACAAAACTATCAGAATATTTTACACTTATTTGCCAAAGCATCAAAATGGAGATGGGAATTGGTCGGATATCTAGGACAAATTCAAATGAAAACTATGAAAACTGAGTACTTTATAAAGAAAATTGTTGCACCATGCAAATTTAGTGAAAATCAAGTAACAAGATCCATTACCAAGCGGAATCATTTGGAGTGCTGTCTGCAACTCATGCCGATCTCTGTTTGCACTACCGTGTGAAGAATATACTACCCTCATATATGCTACCTCCATGCATTTGTAGGCAAGAGCAGCTGACGCCATGTCTTTTGATTTCTCATATTCGTGGGCACAAAACCTATCAAAAGGAAAATATTAAGAAGACATTAGAGCAAAAAAAAAAGTTCTAATCATAAAGGCTATTATATACAACATAAAATCAACCTAAAGATATAATTTATGCCAAGTACAGTTATAAGGTTTGAAAGCATGTTTGTAACCTAATAAAACAATAGATACAGGAAACCATACTTACACTAGTATTTTAAACAAGGGAAGGCAATAAGTTAAAGCACAATTATAAAGAAAACTGTTCTTACTCGCACAATTTTGCAGTGCTACTATACATTTGCTTTGATTGAATCATCTCATTGTGTTTAGCATTATCATTGTTGCCAGATTCTAACAGAGAGGCCCCATGAAGAAATTTGAGGGCTGCCTGGAAGTAAAGACTAGTGCTCTCAACAGTGGATCCAGAATTCTGTATGAGAAAGCCAAAATTGGTAAAAATATGTACCAAGAAGAGCAAAAGCATAGAAGTCTAAAAAGGACAGCATAAAAACCTTAAGTCGATCAGCCAGATGCTTAAGATCTTTAGCTTCTTTCACAGCATTGTTAGCAGCATGGCTGTAAGAATCCCTTCTAACTGGACTAGGGGCATCAAGCTCCTTGGACTTATGACCATTAAGTATGGGATTTCTTGAACCAATTTGCTGATTACCATTTTGATGGTCAGTCTTTTTCAATTGTTTTTTTTGGAGCCTTGACACATCATCAACTTTGGAAGGATCAACCTCATTATCTCCATTTCCTTTATGTAAACCAACTGGTCGTGGGCAACGACCCAATGTCTCAACTTGAGATCCTTCAGATGGCAATGATGACAATGGCTTCCCTTTTCCATGTACTTCTTGATCAGTTCTTTCCAAAAGAGACCTCTTTGTGGTTCTTTCAGTATCGCAATCCGGCAACTGATTCTGAACAGGAGCATGAAATAACTCCTGTTTGTATAGGGCATCTGTACTAACATCTTGAAAGTCATGACCCCGATTTAAGAGATTCTCCTTTTTCCTACTCTCATTTTTTCCTGTAAAATCTTTCTTGCCAGCATGTATATTCTCACTCTGGTCAGGCTTGAGCCCAGACTTCTCCTGCAACTTAATTTTTCCATCCTTATGTTTTGCCTCATGTAGGGGAGACTGATCTTTCAGTTGACTCGGAGAGCTAGTATTCTTGACCTTATCTGCATGAGACTCTGCCTTAAAGCTGTCATTGTTGTCCTCCAAACCTGATTCTATGCCATTTTTCCTTGCATGAGATATATTAGAATAACAAACATCGACTCTGTCTTCACCTGGAGGCTCAGTCTGCTCTGTGCCTGGATATATCCCATCTGGGACTCTAGTGTCCACACCAAAATTGGTACAATAGCTAGTTGTTTGAGCTTTAAGTTTAGTATCTGACATGTGATTAACACCCTTGTCCTGAAAACCTGACCTGTGGGCAATGATGAAGGATTTATCTTTCCTAGCAGTTCCAGACCGATCACTCCCACCATCATCCTCACGATCTGAGCATCTTCTTGGACTGTCGGCAACAGCAATATCATGAGAGTCATCTTTCCCAATAATTTCCTTGTTCGTAAACTTATCTGTATTTGAAATTCTTATAGGTGATGAGGAAACTGATTCCACAGGTGAGCCTTTCACTTCCTGGAAGCTAGCTTTGGTTTTATGAGAGCCAGAAACCTTAGAAGAACTTGAAGTGGCAGCAACAGAAGCCTGTACAGACCCCAAGTCCCTTTTTGAACATTCCATGCCATCCAAGCTCCGCTGTGACATGCCGCTCTCAGGGTTTTGCCTGAACTTCTGGTTCTTTGTATGACTAACTTTTTTGTCAGTCCTGCCACTGCCTTTACTGGCACTTGATTCTTTGCCTTCAGATTTTGAAATTTTTGCCTTCTTTTCCTTCCTGGAATTACTGAACTCATGCTCAGAAGTTTTCCTATCCTGTAGGCGTGGATTACCTGGGCTGTATGTTTGAGCATTTTGATACCCCTTCAATTTCCTCTTTTTCACACTACCAATTGAATCACAATTTCCCAGATCAAGGGACCCCTCATCCAACGAACACTGACCTTTATTGTTTGTGTTTTCAGCAGACTCTGGCATCCTCTCTTTTCCTGATTTGGAGTCCCTCGAAGAGGAGCGTTCTTTCTGTCTAGGTCGATCTTTGCCAACTGAAGTAGTTGCAAAAGTGCTATTTGAGCTTTGGCCACCCACCTTCCTAGTAGTCCCATTCTGTTCAACAATCCATTCTTCATTGGAAGAATGAACCCTGTCAGCCTTAGATTTCTTGGATGGCCTAGAAAAATCTTGATCGGGGTCCCTCCTGCTTTTGACCTTCATACTCTTCATATCACCTGCAAACAAATTTCCAGAAATGAAGATAACATAAAAATTTAACTGATCTTTGAACATCTGCACATTAGTTAAAACTAAGCTGATAACAACAAATATGTGGTTCAAGTTACCTCTATCAGAATTGTACTCCATCATCCTCTGCTTATTTTTGTGTTTCTCTGCTGGAAAATCAGCTTCACTCACAGCAGGAGATTTGTTCACATCATTTAAGCTCCTGCTTTTCACTGCTGACGGCAAGTTTTTCTTAATAGGATATGAAGATTGAGGAAAGCTGTCTTTATTAATAGAATTTGGTATCTCTTTCACAAGCTTTTTCTTCCCCCCAGGTACTGCATGCAGATCATTATTTTGCTGGGGTTGGTCAGGATGATTGGATGTTGCCATGGTTCCTCCGACCATAACACTACCAGAGACATTTTGCAGGTTGCTTTGACCATCAAGAGGAGGCCCTTGGTAAAATGCAACAAGTGCTTTAGTGGTTTCATCCTCACTAAAGCTACATCGATTCATGTCAGGCCTGCATAGTTATTCATGCAATGTTAATTTGATGTAGATAAAAATAAAATCTATGTACTTGATGTGCTATCCATTAATGAATATAAGTAGTTCTCATTATATGCATTATATTTTAACTAATTTAGTTTTCTTTATTTTTTTTCTTTGGATAGGGTGGATAGGTGGCCTGCTGGAGTATCAAACCTCCAAAATCAAGATCACACGCCAACCTTAAAAGACTGGAGCAGTTCCAATTGAGCTACAAGCTCATTAATGCTTAACCTGTTTGAATAATCTTCTTCACAAACATTTATAGAAGAAGAACATGAAAAGCAAAATGAATCAAACTTATTCCATAAATTAAAATCAACTTGTGCATTTCAACTTTTCAATAAGTTAAATGTGAGGGTTTCTGTAAAAGTTAAAGCGCATAAGTTAAATTGAAGTTAAGGAAGGTATTTTATTCATTTTACCTTCTTATTTTCTCCTCCTACAAGTATTTATGAAAAAAATTATCCAAACAGGGCATTAATACTTTAATTATAGACAAATAAATTTAAAAGATTTAGCCAATGAATCAGAACTTACAACCAATTAAGCATGCTACACAGCCACTTTTCAGGTAGGTTGTCAGGATTTGTTCCAAGAGGAAGAAGACGCCATTTATGACACTTGTCACACTGTACCCAATTATCTTCAATCTCAACAGTTGGTATCATTGCAGGAATCCCTTTACCATTCTCTACATTAGTACCATTTTCATTTTCAGTGGACCAGACATTTGTGACTGTTTTAGGGTATATTTCAGCTGTTGATGGCTTATCAACTTTCTTACCACTGGATCTCTCCTTTGCTCCACAATTAGTTGTAGGTGCACTCCTCTCGACCACCTCAGATTCCTTCACTTTTTCCTCACAAGGGGTCTCCAGTGAATCCATTCTGTCCTCCTCATCTTCCAATTCCCCAAAGAAATCTTTGTATGTATCTCTAGTCTTTCCAAGATTTTTTGGTACTCTGACATCTTCAGTTTCATTTTTTGAAGTAGAACTATCATCAGAACTCTTTTTTGTTTTAGGAACTGAAGAGGGCCCAACCTTCAAATTTTCTTTTTCCCTCTCCATAACAATGGTGCCATGACTTCCCTTTGGCTTCTTCTTACCCCCTGGAATTTGATGTTCTGTCACAACAGTTAATGTCATACTGTCTTGTTCACAGAGGCTACCTCTCAGACTAGCCTTCTTAGGAGGCTCTTCAGAGTTAGATGCTGGCCGAACTTTGGAAACATTAGATTCAGCTATCATTGAGTGGCAATTTTTATCTCCATGAGGATTGTCTTTCACTGTATACTCATCATGAGAAACCTTATCTCCCACAACTTTTCTTGCTGAACTTCCCTTTGCCTTCTCAGCAAAACCATTCACCTCAGTAGATGTTGTCTCTGCCCGTTCCTTTGGTCCCTGATCAGAGAAGGTTTTCTCCCTCGCCATAACTTTGTTGACTTCCTTCAATGAATCGCATGACCCATCCACAGCCTTAACCAAGTCATCACCGAAAGGATAAGAACTGGATAAAAGTGGAAGTTTCATGGTTTTTGAAACTAGCTCCTCCATAGTCAAAGCATCTGTATTTTGTTCCTTTCTTGACAGCACTCCAACATCACTTCGAGCATTCTTCTTTGTAGAACCCTTGACTTCCATTAAGGATTCACAACCCTCCAGAGATTTCATTTTCCTCCCACCTAACGATTTTCTGTCACCCTTTTCATTATTAGATTCAATTAGTGGCATGTCCAAACTTTCTGGGTCATCCAAATGAACAAGACCAGGGATACTATCTCTGGCACGTGTTTCCTTTAATGTTAATTCAAGGATATCATCAGGAAGAGGCGACAATAGCAGAGGGATATTTGTCATAATCTGTTCCAAGACACCATAAAATATTCAACCCATTACTGTCAAGCTCAATATGAAGAAAATAAAGGAGAATCAAAATGCCAGAAGATAATTCACCTGAAGGATAATCGTTGGAGATTCAAAAGGAGCATCTTGAGGACCACGAGAAATCCCTTCACTTTCTGAGGGGCTGTCATCTAGTGATGATGATGGTGACACATCAAGACCAATTTCACTGTATATTGCAGCATTTTTCCGCGTTGATAAATTATCAGGACCCATTTTGATTCGAACCTTCAGTGTCTTCTGGTCTGATGTGCTAGTAACTTTTTTGTTGAGAGACTCCTGCTTAGAAGTGGATGTATTAGCATTAGTGGTTGTCATGTATTTTTCTTGACTGATTCCATCATCTGAAGAGTGACCCTTGTTTGCAGCCATCCTAGAAGAGTTAGCAGAACCTGGAACAGGTCTCAATGACTGAGTTCCAGCTGAACATTGTACAGCATCCCCCTGCCCACCCTGCATCATATAATATGAAATTTAAATAAGTTGAAAATGAAAAATAACATGAGCAAGTCATAAAACCTCATTTAAAGTCAGCAATTTAGCTAAAATGAAATGTATCATAGTCACATACATATGCCCCGTGTAGTATAAGAAATTTACCTCCAGTTGCAGATTATTGGGAGACCTGGGCGTATTTTGACCTTGATTTTTTTGTGGAGTCCTTGGACGAGACCAAACAGGAGAGCGCTGATGGGTGGGCAAAAATGACCCATAACCACCAAATTTTGACCCTGAAATGATCATTTGTTTCTTGATATCATTAGAACCTATAACTATTTAATTTGTAAGCCTACATAGATGAGCCATGGTTCTAACAAGTTAAGACTTACCCAGATTCTCTGCAGACACCCCGCCCTCAAAATCCTTCTGAAAGTGTCCCAGAACATCTTGAATTTTTTCATCCTTACGGGAAGAAAATTTGAAATGCAAATTATCAAGAGAAAAGAAAGAACAATGATCAAAACAGGAAAGGGGACTAAATAACTGACAAATTTGACCACATGTAGGAATGCTTATGATATGGAAACAAACAACATTCTATAATGAAATAACAGAACAATAAATGTGTCAACTGTCAAGTAGCCATCTCAAAGTTAGCATGATTTTCAACTTAAGGAAGCTCGTTCAACGCACACAACTTCCAAAGTATGAGTGTTACGAACCGAAACGGTAAGAAACGTATTCATGATGTCTCATAATTATAAAGGAGAATACTGACAATACAACTCCACCATATCTTTGGCACTTAGTGGACATTATATATAACTCTATCTGAGGGAAATAAGCACTTCTAAACTGTAAACATCAATTTACAAACAAAAGCACTTAAAAAAGGGAACATTTATTTCTTCATGACAGGAAAAAGGTTAAAAATCAAACGAGGAGGGAAGAAAGAAAGAGAAATCCTTTACAGCACCAATCGGATTCAAACAGCATTTTCATGCGTAGATCAGGCAAATTAATCAGAAATTTCCTCACCAGCCCAATGCATCACGGTGGCATCACAAAGACCATGAAAATCCAAAATCTTCTATAACACCCTCTATGTTAAACACATCAAATCTATTCAACTCACAACAAAACATAATTCAGCACTGCACACCCTAAATTACACAAGCTACACCAACCGCAGGAACAAAATTCAGGTCATTCGTGGATCTAACAAAGTAAAACAAGTGAACACCAATAATTCCAAACTTAAAAACCAACAACAAACTATACTCAAAACAGGAGAGCAAGAAAAATCAAGATAAAAAAAAGGTCCTTACAATGTAAGAGAGGTCAACATCGGGATCAACTGTGGCATCATAATCTTCATGGTTCTGGAACGAGCATGCCTCACCTTCTTCAAGCTCAGACTCCACCATCTCTCTCCTTCCAGCACCCAACCCTAGCCCTAACCCTAACCCTAGTCCCTTTATTGCATCCCTACCTCCTGCAGAAATCATCCAAAAAAATACCGAAAAATACAGAAATCAAACCCTCCAACTTAAACCTCCGCATTGAGAACCCTCCGTCTTATTAAAACTCTCAGCTCCTCTTCGATCCATTCCTCAGAATCAAAAACTCACCCCAAACGATTCACCCCCGCAAGTAATTGAAAAATTCTACACGATCGCGGGCTCGCGTAGAAATCACAGCCTCAAATTTCCCAAAAAAAATTTGTTGTAAAATTTAAAACACAGCCTCCGATAATCGAATGACCGATAAACCTCGTGTTCGATTATTTGAAATCGTTGAATCTTAGCTGGGATCGATCAACACAGAGTTTGTTTCTCTCTCTTTCTCTCTCTCTCTCTCTCTCTCTCTCACCGTGTCTCTGTTTTTGGTGAATACAGCAGCCGCGTTTTTTTTTTTTTTTTTTGTTAATTTTCTTAAATTCTTTATTTTGTTTTTCGTTAAAAACAATATTTAAATCCCACGGTGGTAGAGAGAGAGACTAGTTGATAAGGGGAAAAAAAGTGCGAAAGAAACCATTTTACCCTTTCGCTCCCTCGTTTTTATGCTTCCGCTTCAAACCTTGTCCCAAAACTATCACTACCAACAAAACCAAACGCTTTGCCTCGCGCGTGTTTTTACTTCCCTCCCAAATTTTATTATTTTGCAAACTAAATAAAATCCTACCATAATAAATCATTTATTCATTCGTATATTCTGTTTATCATATTTTATAAATGTTAAATATTTATTTATTTTGCTATCAATTTATTTATTACAGAATTTCCCGCCCCTTTTATCCATTTTTCCTTTTTAATTATATTTTTTATTTATAAAATTCAAATTCTAGATTTTATTTGGAGGATTCAAGAGTTTGTTTGAAAATAAATTCTAAAATTTTATAGGAAAAACATGAGAGAAAAGTAAGTTAATTTTTCATAAATTAATTTGTATCAACTTTCTTTTATTAATTTCTTAAACAAAAAAGTTGTTTTGAATTTAATGTATAAATTAATTTTTAACTTTTAAAAAAACTTTTTCTTCTTCTTTTGTAAGTCTTTAGAAAAGGTTTATTTTAAATATAACATAATCATTTGCATCAATGTAATATTAATATTAATTATTCATAAAATTAAATTAATATTTATTTAAAATTCTTTAATTATTATACTGAATATAATATAATTTAACCGTCAATGTCATCAAGATTTGAATTTTTTTTCTTACAAATATAAAAAAATTCAAGTTGAAAAGAAATGTCTACTTATTTGATGTTTTTGTGAAATTCTCAAAGAAGTATGATATAATATATGGTTAATTAGTATGATATATAATACATGGTTAATTACTTGTATAAATCAGATAATTTATTACACTGGATATGCATATAGTAATTTTGAAGGAGAGAAAGTGAGTAACACAAGTTTTATACTTTTATTAACATTTATTGATAAAAGATTTTGCATTGTACCGTAAGATTTACTTTTCAAAATATTACTGTGTTGTATATATTAACGTGATCTTGTTTTATTTTCTTTGGCGGTTACATACACTTAAAAGCACATGAATGCGAATTTAAGGGCGTGAAAGAATGAGTGAATTTATGAATAGTGTGGCCGTACATTTATGCACAAAAATTTGATAGTTGTGGATATCGTATCACTGAAAATGATGAACACGCCAAAAGTATAGATTTGGTCATGCTTTCGTTCGTTAGGGTTCGTTAATTTCGTGAAGTGAACTAAATGGCATGCAATGACAGAATAAAGGTGTGAGGAGAGCCATAAATAAGACTAACAAGGAAAAGGATAAAGACATGTCATGCCAAACTAGGTTAAATGAAGAAGAAAGAATGAATGATATGTGTTCAAGTTTGGGGTATGTTGAAAATTGTTGGGTCTCTTCCCAGTAATTTTTCTTTTTTATGAATGTTCCCAAATACTTTCACAACCTGCGTGAATTTGTTGTTTAGGGTTTCTTTCTTATTTAGTAATCTTTCTTTTGTATTTCTATTTTTATTAGTGACTAAGTACGTAGTTTTATTTTTCAATTCTTGTCTAAAGTCTAAACCTATTTACTAGTTAAGATAACATACCCTTGAAAGTTACTCAATACCTGACCAACCAGCTAGCTTTCTTAATTCCAAAGGTGTTTGCCCTTATTGATGGAGATAACAAAATGCAATGCTATTTTGTTTAATTTGCAAATATTTATGTCTTATGTATATGTATGCATTATCCATATCACACGTTAAGCAACAAATTCATCAATAGTTTTTAATTAATAGTTAATATATATAAAATACTAATTAAATGTTTGAGTTTGTTCTTCATTATTAAAGAAAGCTTCACCTTAGTTTAAGGCAAAGGAAAGGTATTGGCAGGTCATGGCGAAACAAGGATTAAAAGGTTCCTCTTCATTTTTATTATTTTTATTATTTCTTAAACTTTTAAAAACATAATAAAACAAAGATGATATATATTTTAAAGAAAAAAATATTTATATCTCAAAATTTTAATAATCGAAGAAATGGATAGATAAACAAATGGAGGGTTATTTTTTATGGTGAAATGGCCTTAACTTAAAAAGATTTCTTTACAATTATTTTTTAATATGGATAAAAATAATTATTTAGCTCCTATTGAAAAATAGTCATTGATTTCATAAAGATAAAAATCCATGACTTTCCTACAGCTTAAGTCCACTAATTAGTAAATCAGTTTTCTAATAACAAAGTTTTCGTGTATATCAACTTTTCCAAGTCAATATTTTCAAATGTTAAAAATAGCTCTCGTGCAACTGACAAATAAATAATCAAGTAGTAATAAGGAATAATTGCGAGGAAAAAAATGTAGGTAGCAAAAAGTTGCAGATATTTTCATGTAAAGTTTATATTTAATAGAGACATTATATTTGTATGATTTTTAATAACATTTTATGACAAAGAAATAAGAAATGTAAAAAATAAGATAATTGACGAAGCAAAAAATAGATAAAAAATAGTAGTAAAAATAATATTGTCAAAAATATTATATAAACAATATCTCTTGTTATAACATGGTTGTTTGACACTTTAAAAATAATTCAATATATAGGGTGAAATGCTTGAAAAATTTAGGAGTTGTTTGGTAATTATGACATGATAATATATGAAAATTAAATAAAAGTAAAATAAGATAATAATGTGATAAGTTCTTATAATGACTAATATTGGAACAAGTTAAGGTGAGCTAGAAAGAAATTATTAAGCCTAAGCATGCTGGTGGACTTGTGTGAGAGATACTTGCGCCACTAATAGTTTACTTTTGAGTAAATTAATCTGGGATATTTTTGCACTCGTCCATTAATAATGGGTGCAGGTTCTTTCTCACAAATACTTTGAAAGGTGGTTTATTTGAAGGGTTCCACTGATATCTGGTGCATCATTGTAAATGTTGGGTAGTTTTGTAAGAGATCCAGACTCGTACAAGTTAATTTAGTTTATAATATATTTTTCTCATGAGAATGGAATATTTTGAATGTAAAATTTATAAAATTAAATATTTAAAAATAATTTAATAATAATTTAACAATATATGATTTAATAGACTTTAAAACAATTACATTTCAAGCATGAGATATGAATAAGATCAGATATTTATAAGTGATATAATAACGATCCAATGCCAGATAACACAATTAATAAATTCAATAATAATTATTGAGTAAGTCATGATACTATTTTAAGAAAATAGATTATAAAATATATTTTAATAAAATTAATTATAGAATATAATTTAATTTTATAAAATTAATTTGTTAAAAAAAATTATTCATTGTCCTTACCATTATTCGATATAGGATCTTTTAACTTGGACTACACTCAATTGTTAGTTTGTCAAATTGAATGCAGATAAGGGCTAGCTTTGCTATAATGAATGCGAATAACATGGGTGTCAGTTGAAAGATCAGAGGAAACCATGGTGAATGGTTAATTGGTTTTTTCAAAAGTTATATGTTTAGAGCATCTCTAATGGGGTTGCTTATAAGTAATCCCTGTGCTACATCCACATTAGCTTTAGTCTATTTTATGAGTTACTTAAATTTTAATAGAGTTGTTTGTAGAAGTAATTTTGCTAAAATTTAAGCAATTCCTAATTTAGCAGTAATGTGACATAAGAGATTGTTTATAAACAATCTCATTGCAGATACTCTTAAGGTGATTTCTTGTTGGTTAAATTATTGGTTGAGAGAAGGTCTCTAACGTGCTAGGCAATTAGGTACCAAGTACCAACACCTTGATTGCGAGGTCGATTACGATGAAGTGTGCCATGTAATCAATGACTAGAGTTCCACGCAAATTGATATGCATTTACATGCAAACATATAATTCTTACGGTGAAGGTTATGCTTCAACAATATGATTGGACCATGCAAATCACTTCCATCTCAGTATGTTATTTCACCTTATTTGATGATTGTGTGGCTTTAACCATTTCATAGTTAATTTCATTTGCTTTCTATTTCTTAAATTGTAACCAAAAAGATATCTAATGTTAAATGTGTGTCAAATAATTTGTTATATATATATAAGGAGGGTTTAAACGACACTCGTATAACTTTTACTAAGTATTACACAGTATCGTTTGAAATATATATATATATATATATATATATATTATCGTCTTCTTTATATTATGTAAATTATAAAATATCTAAACATACGATAAGGATAATAATTTAGGTAATTTATTTGGTTAAAGTTGATCGTTTCTTAATCTTGAACTAACCTATTTTATGATCCAAATTAAGTCTCAAATCTGATTTATTAACTTGTTACAAGACTTTAACTTGTTTTATATTAAGATTTTAACAGGTTGATCAGACTATCCTTAAACAAATCAATAAATTTTTAGGGCTGATGAGACTACATGTGAGAAAAAACAATAAATTAATAGACTATCATATTTATATCTACAAATTTCTCTTATTGGTTTTTGTTTTGAATATTTTCCCTAATTTATTGTTGTTACAGGTATATTAAATACGTAAATTCTTTTCTTTTTATGAATATCACTTTGAAATTTGTTTCTTAATAAAATGTACACTTAATTTTGTGTTAATTAATTCTATAATTTTTCAGTTTATGGACAAATTTTTAAATTCCATTCTCAATTAAAAAATAGAAATGGAAGTAAATTATATTTGGACAAATTACTTGTTATAACTGTTTCATAGTTTTATGATTATCTTTTTTATTTATTTGAACGAAAAGATAAACGAGACACTATTTTCATTACAACAAAATCTATTATTATCGACAATTATTTAACAGTAATAAATTAATTGCCTTTATTTTATTATTATAATATTTATATAATGGCCACTAAAAATGTATTTACATCACACCAAACTTTACTAATAGAAACAATTATTTATTGAAAAAAACTTAAGTCACACATCGACTAAAAATAAAATAATTAAAGAGTATATAAATGGATGATAACTCTCACCTTACAAGTTTGTTT